TGAGGAACAGTCCAGAATATCACATCCTCTTCAGCTCAGAAAGCACCTATAGACTTATTTGATTATGCACAAACAGGTGACCTGTTCAGGTTTACACAGACAATCTTTAAATGTAGAATTGGCTACAGATAAAAATGAATGAAGTAAAACAAAATACATTGTAATTAAATATTCATTAATTGGTTTACAAGCAGAAAGCTGCAGGGTTGCCGACCCCTGACCTAAATAGTTGAAAATGTTTTGTCCAACATTCAGAGACGTTCCATAAAGTCTATGAACGTGATGTCATCACATGACAGCGCAGAGAGAAAAATGGCAACTCGCACACCAGCTGATTGGCGTCTAAAAAGAACACAACTGCTGCCGTTTAGGAATGTTTTGGGTTTGAAGCATACTTAAAAGAGAGCTGGTAAACACTGACGAGGTGATTTGTGCAAACAAAGATGACCGCGAAAGATGCACACCCCATCAGCACAGCAGAGGAGCTGTGGGGAGGAAGCTGGATGGTTTTAAAATTTGGATAACGCCCAAGCCTACTCTTGATCACGTATGTGACAGTAGCATGTTTTGAATATGCGGGGAAAATGATTCTTGTGTTTGTTAAATATTTATGACCCATCTTCCTGAACAGCAAAAAAAGCAAAAAGCTTTTCATGATCTGCTGGTTTTCGTTCACTCAGCACATCCCCTTCTCTAAACGGCCTTAATGTCTGATCGTCTCCATGACTCACCTGTACCCTCTTCCTTTTAAACTCTCCTGCCAGATGATCAGCGTTCTTCCAGGTTCTTCTCCCTGAATTATTCTTGCCTAGCCAGCGATGGATCTCTGCAGCTCTTCTGCTTTCTGGACTATGACCCCTAACCTCTGACCTCTCCTGGCCACAGATTCTCACCGCATCCTTTTGCTAAGCATCTAAACTTCCAACACATTCTCACTCCCAGCGCGTCAAAAACAAATGCTTTGTCAGCCAGCCTCCGTGTCAGACCCGATGCCAAAAGTGCCCTTTTTCGTCACTTCTGTGCGAAAAGGGGGTTTCCCCTTTTCTGACTGCAGATCCCAATGCAGAGTAAACCTGACGTGATGGGATGTCCGCTGATGCGGCACTGAACCAGCTCATTTAACCGCACCTAAACCTTAACGTTCTACGATTTATAACCTTCCCCTCTCCCTCATCCTAACCTTAACCCTCTTGCTACCTAAAACGTTACTCTCACTGTGATCAAGCGTTTGTTTCCCATGCATTCTGACTGCGAATTTTCGTATTTGCCGCCCAACGGGAGCGTTAGAACATACCATCTGGCGAGGGGGAGGTTACAAATACACTCTACTTTTAACCTCCACCTTGGTAGTTGAAACCTCCCCCTCGCGTTGGCTCGTTCCAAACTCGACCAATAACGAGGCGGCTCCCGACGTTCACTTCATAGAGCCGGCTTTTAGAGCGACCGACACATCACTAACGTGTTCGCTAGCAAGATGGTTAAGGTTAGGATAGGGGTGAGGGGAAGGTTAAATAACAAGAGGATAAGGTTAGGGTGAGGTACAATGAGGTGGTTTGGTGCTGCATCAGCGGACATCCCATCGTGTCAGCGTAACGCTGCATTGGGATCTGCAGTCAGAAAAGGGAAAAATCCTTTTTTGCACATAAGTGACGAAAAAGGGCACTTTAGGCGTCAGGGGTCTGACGCGGAGGGTGGCTGACACAGCGTTTATTTTTTGACGCGCTGGGAGTGAGAATGTGTTGAAACTTCTGCTGTTCTGTGAATGAAGTCTCTAAAATTGTCATAATTTTGGATTATGGATTTTTTTTTATGGAGTACAGAACTCTCGTTCTCCACTTCTTGACCCATTACCCAGATGTATGTGTAAGAAAACATTTTTCTGCTACTGCTCACTATTTCCATTCCTGAGTGTTTGACCACTGCTTCGATCGTCAAACAAAATCACAAAAACATATACGTTTTAAAGCACACACTGCATAAAAGGTGTGTGTGTGCGTGTGCGTGTGTGTGTGTGTGTGTGTGTGTGTGTGTGTGTGTGTGTGTGTGTGAATTTTAGAGAATTGGAGTTTTGGCCCTGTCTAACACACACACACACACACACATGCTCGCGTGTCTCACCTTCCCTCTAGAAGCAACAAGCTGTCATGTCCAGATTACCTCATCTGCCTTCTGGCTATGTAAACCAAGAGCTCTTCAAACACACACACACACACACACACACACACACACACACACACACACACACACACACACACACACACACACACACACACACACACACACACACACACACACACACACACACACACACACACACACACACACCATTTTTAGAAGTTTAATCCAAACTGTGATCAAGCCTATACGTTACTCCAGCCTTCATCGTGTCTTTGCAGGTCTTCCTCACAGTGGCACATGAACGGCAGCAATTGTTTTTCCAGGAGCAAAACAAACACGCAGATGACACACAGACTGAGGCAAGAGTAACTGTATCCTGTTTGAGACGGCCGCAGAAAATTCCCTTTTCACTTGACAATGGGATTGCCCCCAGCCTGCTTACTGAACTTGGTTTTAAACAAATGTGTTCCACCAAGTTTTTCTTGAGCAGAGTTTTCTATTAATTCAGGCATCTGACAGTCACAGAACACAATAAAATATAACCATCTACGGTTCTGAGTCTATCAACCACAGGGATAACAGATTCCACCTTGTTGTCATTAATAAACAACATAAAAAAACTGAGTGTCCACCCTTTGCTGCTTTAAAAGAATTATCAGCCAGGAGCTACTGACCAGGTGTAAATAAGTGATCATCATCAGTCTAATCAGCTCTATAAATGCAGGAGCTGCAAAGACAGGAGAAATGCTGTAAAACATCAGAAATAGAACTAAACAGCTGTTTCCCTCCACCGCCAAACATCTGTCTCTCAACTACGACGAGACTGAGGTCATGCCAGGTGAAGTGTGTGAAATTTCCTCGTTTAGTTACATCCACAAACTCTGACATTGCAGGAAGGAAAGAAAAGAACACATTTCTAGAGAAGGAAAAAATCAAATAGAAACAGAACCATTGTGTTACAATGATGTTCTTCACAAAAAACTAAACCAGAAGCGTGTGAACCGAGTGAGAACATATCTCTGAGTATTTCTGAGTTCCGTTAATAAACGCTGACAGAAATGGCTCGTTAGCTCGTCACTCTGCTGTCAGAAAATGCACAATCGCTGCTCGCCGATGGCTTTCCTGCCAAGGCTTAGTCCTGTTTACCTCTCCTGAGCAAACGCTCAGAGGAAGTCAACGAATGTTGGCAGATTAGGACTGGAGATGTGTCCTTCTGCTGTCCCAACAAAGACTAAAGACTAAACCAGTCTCTAAACCAGTCCTGAAACTGGTGGCACATTATTCCACTGACTAGTGACTGTACAGCAGAACAATGCAAAGACAAAAATCACTTTTAAAAAGAAACATTTAGTTTTTTTTTCTAACAGCAAATACCATCCTAAACACTGTCTTTATCATTTTATTTAACATGTGCATAATGGCCACGGGGAGGCATCGTCACAGTCTAAATGTAGTTATTTTTGTTGTACTTACTTTCTATTCCTTTGCATCTGACTGTTTTCTTTTAATCACTTTTGTTCAGATGTGACCTGCAATCTATCTAACAAACAAGCTAGAACTGCTTAAATAATTCAATAAAATCTCATTAAAGGCACACTTTGCAGTTTTGCTTGCTTTTAACACCCCCTAGTGTCCGTTAATAATTCTCTGTGGTCAAACTGAAAATCAAACTTATCTCCTCGCTGCGCGTTTGTCTTTTTAACACCTTAATCTAACAGTTGAAACGTCTCTCCAGCCTTCCTTAGTGTCTGCAGGAGTGATTCATCACTAAATTGAACAAATCAGCTGTGTTCGTGGTCTAAAACATGCTGGAAATATGGTGGAAGCAGACTGCAGCGCCAAGTGGAATCCAACAGGTGGCGACGCGCCAGTCTGATGTTTCGAATGCAATTTTCTGGCTGTGGGGATGGGGTCTGCGTGACACTTCATTAATCCTGTAAATGGTCATTTTTGTACATGCTGGCTCAAGAAAAATATTTTAAAATACGAAACAGTTGCATAGTATGGCTTTAACTTGAAATGTAGGTTTCTGAGAGTAAAAAAATATATATTGATAAGAGATATTTCACAAATCTATTTACTTTTTCATTTAGAGATTTTTGACCTTCAGATCTCCACCTTATCTCATCATGCTGTTGGAGATAATATTAAGGTGATTGCGGCTCCAATCTCAAAAACGACAGAAGTTTGGGTTCCGCTGCTGACCCTTGCATCACATAAATGAAGTGTTTCCAGTCCATTTGGGGCCAGATCAGACAGGAAGTTCTTTATATTTCTTCACTTGCAGTATTATAAAGAAAAAAAAAATCAAAGTTTGAAGCAGGAAGATAGCAGAAATACATTCTGGTCTCATCAATCCTCAAGGAAGTAACCTTTTATTCTCCAGTATTCAGGAAGCCATCTCTGAAGGGTAAAACAGTATCATTTAACTACAAAGCTACAAAAACAACAAGCAAACCAGAAAACCCACACAACATGTACTTCCATGCAAAAATAATGTTTTTTTCTATAAATGTGTACAATTACCACAGGACATCAGTAAGTCACGAAACAGACACGATGTGAATGGTGCTCCCACATCACATCCTGATTTCATACAGAAACAAACGAAAAAGAGAGAAAACAAAAAGGTCTGCTCCCACAGAAAAAAACAAAAGCTTCTGAAGCCAAACCAACATGCCAAAACCACCCCACCTCCTACAGCCGGTCTCAGATCAGAACTAGCCCATGACTGACACTCGACCATCAGAGGCCTTTGGTGAACATGAGCCAAGGATGTACAGTAGAAATGATCTAATTGATTTTTTAGAGGCAGAGCGGCTACTAGATCAGACCACGGAGCGGGAAGAGCACCAGTAGCTAGGCTAGAGGTCAGAGTTTACCTCTTTCTGATCGAGCTCCAGCCAGGCTGTATAAAGCGGGACACGCAGACCCCCACTAGAGTCCACCAGACTCCCCCCTTCCTGGGAGAGAAACACCATGAGAGAGAGAGACACCATGTTAGACCATACAACCCAAGCCAGTCAACCCAGTACTCATTTATTCATGGTCTAAAACTTCATAAACCACTAAGGAGCACAGGTGTGATGCTTTTTCAACTAATACCAAACAATTAACAAAGGTATGCATGTGTAGGGTGTCTGCAGCAACATTCACCACTAGTCACATTTCAAACAAAAGCAACAATTTCCTCTTTCTCCACTTCAAAACCGCCTCTCCCACCACCTCACACAATACACCACAACTCACGCACCGCCGCCTTCGCACAATGCCGCTTCTGTCTGATTTAGATCACACTGTGAGACACTGAACCGTGTGACGAGCAGGTGAAATTTACCGCAGGAAGAACAAGTGTGTGTGTGTGTGTGTGTGTGAAGGGGGGGGGGGGGGGGGGGGGGCATTCCTGGTGGCACAAGCATGCAAAAGCCCCAAAATTCATCAGAAGTCGAAGAAGTCCCTGTTTACGTACGGATAAGCTGGACTGGCTGAGGTGTGTGGAAACACGTCAGGAAGAGCAAAGAATAACACGGCCTCTTCCTTTAAAAACAAACCCCGCTGGGGAAGTCTGAAGCCTCGCTTTAAAGAAAATAACTACTTAACCTTTTTGAGCAGCACTTTGCCGAGAAAACACATGCTGGTGAGAAGCCCGTTGTGTGGCAGCTCTGATTCCAACCTTTCTGTTGTGAGCTGATGAAGCGTCTGATGGCAACACTGTTAAACACCAAATAAGGACAGTCTCCTGGTTTCAGGGCGACCACCCAGAACCCGTACAAAGAGAGATGGATGACACCTCTAAACAAACCCTATAGAGTCTTTAGGGGTATTTCAGGTGCATTTAGCTGCCAGGACATACTGCTGTCCGCGTCAGCATGTCTGACTGCAATAAATATCTCAAAAAGCTGGCTTCCATCATAATTTCCCCTCTAATGGTAAATGGTCTGTATTTGATATAGTGCCTTCTAGAGTCCTGGAACCCCCCAATGCACTTTACAACACAATCAGCCATTCACCCTTCCACACACACATTCACACGCTGGTGGCGATGAGCTGCATTGTAGCCGGGCACATGACAGAGGTGAGTCTGATGTACACAGGTGCCACCGGTCCCTTCAACCACCACCAGCAGACAAGGTGGGTTAAGTGTCTTGCCCAAGGACACAACGGCAGCGATTGAGCGGGGCTCGAGCCTGCAACCTTCTGATTACGGGATGAGCACTTAACTCCTGTGCCACCGTCGCCCCACCAAAGCAACACAGCATGAGAACCTCACGAGTGTTCTATAACAATCTAAAAGTTTAGTCTGTGTTCTTGTTCTTGTGAAAGAATCAAATTCAAGGCGGTTGTGTTCATCATCAACAGAGATACCTGAGTCCTTTATAACTGAAACTCAGATATTTCTTTAGCTAAAACGTGTAAACACCATTACAATGATCATTTCATCTCAGAATGGATGACTGACTGCAATAAAAATCTCAAAAAGCTGAGAGAGGTCTCATGGTGCCTCTCCCTCTCT